AAGAGTAAAAGACATATCGAAAAAATTATTGACAATGGAATTGTCTGATTGCGAATTAAAGAATTTCTGTGCATCTGCACACAGGTGACTATCGTTCAGTAAATTCGGTTATGATCGTCTTCATTGCCCTTTTTTTTCGCATTCTGTATTGCAGAATGCGATACACAAACGTATTTAAAATTATTTGGGTGCAGCACTAAAAGGTCTCAGCTCTGTCCTTGACCGATAAAATAAATGATTGTGAAAAAAGGCTCCAGAGTTTTTCGGTTGTCTCATGGACCTTTGCACGGGAAGATGTCTTATATCAATCTGCGTTTTTGTATCTTCCTTCCAGAATTCCCTTGCTTTAATTCTGAACAAAATGACGTTTGTTTCTCGTTTCAGACATAATTTATTTTATATGCTGCATACCAAGAAGAGTGGATTTCCCAGAATGTTCGCGTACTCTAACCTCTTTCATAAATAGGGAATCTCCTTGCTTAATTAATTCCTGTGTAATATATTTCATTCAGTCCATTTACAATTATTTTTAAATGATCATGTGGTATGATGTTGTTGTGCACTTTCCTAACAAGTGACGGCATTGCTTCGCCAAGTGGTTATAAGAGACATGCACTAGGTGGCGTAGAATGAATGGTTGTGGATAGAGGGATGGAGGAGATCCCCCCGCTTGATATAATAGATTAACGTAGCTTCAGTAAGTGTGTGTTTTAATACGTTGATGATCTGGGAATTTATTCAGCTGGACTTCCACAGTTGTTATCGCATCAGTTATGATTACAATAATTTCTTGCTTTCATTCTGATATGCATCTAGTACTAAAATCGCTGTTTGCAAACTTCCTGCACTTTTACAGTTAATTCCAGTTGCTACTCAAAGTTCCAATCAGATGGAAATGTTAACAAATGCAGGTTCACTAATGTGGGCTCGTTGTTGCGCCAAACTTAAATGGAGCGGAAGGAAGGAGCCTTTTCTCCATACAATGAAGTGGATCACCACAGCTGAAGTTTATACTGTAATATCCTGTCTTGTGAATTTGTTGTCGGTTAGCGAATTATATTCTTCCGCCAAAAATGATTATATGATATAGCCGATTCTTTGCTTCAGTTTTAATTCGTATATTTAGTAGTATAATGGGTGGTAAAATCGTCGTTTCCATTAAGTTTGTTGTCAGTTCTTTCTCTTTCGCATACTCCAACTATTCTGATGATCCCGTAGGCAAAAATTTTCCTAGCATATCGTACTCATTCAAAGATACAGCCAGTGCGTCGTATGGAAACTGTTCGAACGTGAACGACAATTTCGGATAGAACGCTTTCGTTTACTTAACACAGCGAAAACTTTATCAGTTCATATCAACAGATATAGGAAGACAGAGGTCACGAGATGTCCACTGCTAAGTCTACTTATCACGTGCAATCTGTTATCCAAAAGTAGCTTGCTTATCGCAGCAGGATAATTTAGTTGAAACTCGGTTGTTATCGCGTGCTTACGTGCCTTACTGGAGTATCCAGAGGACTTTGCAGTACGTTCCTCGGCGGCCTCGTCAAGCGAACGACTATGGCGAACGCAGCGCTGGCCTTTTGTTTGTTCGGTTTCATAGGATCCTCTTCTATTGGCGCTGAAACGACCGCACTCCGTTCCAAATCTGTGGTCGTGAAAACCGAAAACGGTCCGGTCGAGGGTCATCTGATTTTACTGAACGATTCGGTCGGAACAGCCTTCTTGGGCATACCGTTCGCTGAGCCGCCCACAGGCAAGCTGCGGTTCAGAAATCCGATCCCGGCGAAGCCGTGGAACGGAACACTGAAATGCGACCGGTACAAAGCCGCCTGCTATCAGAAC